TAAAATCATCAGGAATGAGTTCTTGACAAGTTCTTGAAGGTCCAAGAATTAATGTTATTGATATTATTTTGTCTACTCTACAGCATTTAATTTGAGTGTAGGATCGTCACTTTTAAGTTCTTCAATATAAATAGTATAGTCTTCTTTCGTCCATTAAAATAAAATTTGGATTTAGTTTAATTAATTTCATTATATGAACAGACACGAAAAATAGGAAGATGAATAAGTATTGCGTAATTTTTTGCAAGAAGTATTAAGAGTTTTAACATATTATATCAGATGATGATATTTTGTAATGAGAAGATTTCTGGAATTTGTCAAGATCTAAAAAAATAAGCAAGCTATTTCGATAATTGAGGAACAGCAATCTAGAATATAAAAAGTTGGAATCTTTATTGTAATAATAGGAAGCAGACATTCGAATTCACATAAGTGTAGTAAAAGTTAATATTAAATTATACTACAAAATAAATGAAATTGTATTAGGATGGTTTATAAACAAAATTAGAGGAAGCTAATTTAGAAATCAAGAGATTATAAGAAAGTATTTTTAAACTAAAGAAATCTAAGTATAAATAAAGTATAATAGTTGTTAATCAGAATCAAAGAAAAAGATTAAAGTCATGATGGGTCTACTTCATGTATATATGGCACTCCAAAGAAATAATCTTCTTTCTCTCAATATAGAGGTTACACTTCTCACAAAAGTTCATATGATGAACTCTTTAAGAGATACAATAAACTCTTATAATAATAGTAGTCAACAATCAAATACAATCTTTAACTTATATATTATTAAATATCTATAGACTGTAATATTTAAATTAGTTAATATATGATGAAAAGACAATAGACTTTAGCTGAAATATGTAATATACTACCAAACAGAAGTTAGACAAAACATAATAATAGCGTAAATAAGGAGTGGATATCATAATCCAATCAATTCAGATGCAATAAAAAACTTATTGAAAATAAAATTAATTATAAATTGCTTAAATTATGAAAGTTATATATTTAATTCTAATGTAGTATAGACATTTAGAATCTTTTGTGAAAATTACTAATAATCTTTCTAAATAAAATGAAATTATTTTTTAGAGTTATTGGTAAAGCCATGAAATGATATTCTTATTTTAGAATGTCATAACATATATTTTTGTTTTTAGTAAAATCGAGTACAGTTCTTAAAACCTTTCATTTACACAACTTTAATATTAAAATTTTACTTATATATTTATATCATATTTAAATCTTATGTAAATTAAGGATTACATAAAATTCAAAGAAAGAAGAAATAGAAGCTATCTTTAATTGTAAGAAGAAATTTAAACAAATTTATTTCATTTAGGAATAACAAAAGATATTTAGTTACTCTTTCCCTTGTTGTTAATTAGGTAGTTAAACATCCTTATATTGCAGTTTTATCTTCCCTCTTTGTAATCGTTTCTTCCATTAAAGAGACAAATGATAATTTAGTTTCTCTTGATTTTATTGATAAATTCAAAAACCCTTTAGCAGCCAATCTTTATGTATCAACTCTATAACTTTCTCTCAATACTTTAAAGAAGAATTCAATTCCTTTTAAATGTAGTCTTTAGAGTCTAATAAAATCATTAATAGCCAAATTAGATAAAGTTTATAGATTAATTATAAGAATGTATTTGAATTGTAATATAAAAATCCATTGTAATTTTATGTATAGATAAAGAATAATGAGAGTGGATATTATGAAAATAATATTAATAATTAAATTACTCCAGGAGAAAGAATCAACAAACAATTTAAACATTACAAAATTTTGATCAAAATTAATAATGAAATGTAAATGTAGATTATAAATTAATTAAATAATCTCTAATTTAATAATAGATTTATAGTCTTGATGATTAATTCACACTGTTAGTTAATTGGATATATTTTTAAATCTACTAACAATAAGTAGATTAATAATTCAAAGTATAAATTATTTTTCTGTTAAAATGGGTTATTGGAACAAGTAATCAATAATACAAATTAGAATTTGGTTTGAATAAGTTAAATAAAATTGTATTATTATAATAAAGAATGAAAAGATTGATGGTTATTATAAGAATAAATAGTTTATGAATTAATTGAAAAAAGCTTAAGAAACCGATTTAATAAATTAGATTTAAAAGATTAAAATAAAATTATTATGCTACAAAAAATTAAAAAAAGTATTAATAATAATTTTTGTAAATTAATAAGCACTAAATAAGTTAAAAAGAATTCAAGGAATTATACAATAGAATTATTATTTATAGTATTGTAAAAGTATTAAAGTAGAGTAAAAAGTAATACAATAACATAATTAATTGGAAATGATGACTTAATTATCATGTTATAAGCATTATAATCAGAAAACTCTATTGAAATGTATTTATAATAAGTTGTTTAATTGATGGGTGAATAGATAACAGTTTCAATTTTAAATATTTAGTTTTTATCATTAACTTCCTATTTACCTGAATATGGATTAATATAAGAATATTTTGAAGATATTGATGATATCTCATAATTTAATACACTATATTAATTAACTTTAAATATAAATACAAAATTAACAAATAATTTTAATATTGAATTTGAGAATAGACATATTTAGAAAATAAATGATGAAATATTCTTAATAACATCATCAAATATGTAAACTCAATATTTAAGTAAAATAGCTTTAATTTTAACTAATGGAATCAATAGTTTAAGATAGAAATATTTAGAGTTTTTCAAATTCATAAAATGAAAAGCAGAATAATATTAATAGAAAATAAAATCAAATTTTTTTATAAATGGAGAATTAAATAAGGAGTATTTGTAGATTAATTAAGCATGAGCATATAGGTTCTAAATAAGAAT